ATAGATAAATTTGACAAAGTTTGCAAAGTTGTGCAATTTGCATCACTGGTTACCATTCAACAAATTTGAAATGTGATTTGGAGTCCGACGTAGGGATAAGTTAAAAGATATAGACATTCCACCCACTTAGAGTTGGCAAATATCCACTCGATCCGTCAACTCGATTTTAATTGGACTCGTAAAAAATGGGTTAGGGTTTACATATCTCAACTTTTAACTTGCAATCCGTAAATAACTCGTATTATCAACCCATACGGATCACGGGTCAGGTTATGGTCAACTCGCAGATTGACAGGTTAATCCGTTTATTTTATTTTTTATTATTATTTTTAAATATTATACTTATTATCCTTAATTAATTTTCCTATTAATGACTCATTCCATTAATTCATACTCCTTAATTTCTAGAGAAAGAAAAAGAAATTATAATAAATTTGATCTAATTATCCAAGTATCAATTTTTTTTTTGTATTAACAATTACTTAAGTATCATGAATGAAATGATAATGCAACTAAAAATATTAAAAGATGTGATGTTAGGACATAAACATAATAACTTAGCGAAAGATGTTCTTGGAAGAACAATTTCATCATTAAAAAAATGGATAAAACTATTTAATAATGTTTCAAGATGATTATAAAATTAAAACTTTATTTTTCAAAAAATTTAAATATTTAACGTTTAATATTTTTATTGTTAATCAATTTATTATTATTTATAACTTTTTTATTTTTTTCTTAATTTAAATGTTTGTGATTGAAATTATAAAGTATTTAGTGTTAATGAATAATAATATTTTAATTAGATTTAGATATATATAATTTTATTTGTATACAATAAAATTAACAAAAAATAATTATAAAAAATAAAAATAAAGTCAACCCGCGAGTTAACCCACAACCTGTTAGGGTCGGGTTAGGGTTGAATTTTTTCAATCCGTAACCCGTTTATAACTCAACCCATGGAACCCGTCACTCGAGTTGACTCGGACCCAGACCCGGACCCGCACGTTTACCAGGTCTACACCCCCACCCCATGGATGCCGGCCCAAAAGAAAAGGACACCCATTGAAGTTCTTCGACAATGACCTTAACAAGCTCTATACCACTTGTATCAAATTAAGGAATTTGAAATTTGATTTCGAGTCCACACTCATACCAGTAATATTATAATTTTTTTTCTGCCAAATTTTGGGAAAATTTTTGTGCAGTGTATCTGTTAGACTTTTTATTTCCATTAAGTGGGAATTTAATTTTGAGTCTTATATTAATGAAAATGATCTAATTAAATTTATTATATGCGTATTAGGATATTTTTAGAAAATTCATAATACTCTTAA